TGCTGCGGGATCCAGGAATCGGAGCTGCCGGGTCGGCGAAAGAAGCGCATCGTGCCGCCTCCTTCAAAGCGACCTCGGGACCCTCTGAGGAGGGGATGCTCAGTCAGTACAGCACGCCGATTAAAGTACAGAAATACTTACATCGCCCTTCCTCCGTGTGGGCGGTTTACAAGTTAACTGTTTGTGAGCAATAAAATGAAATATATCGGCAAGCGGAAGCATACATTTAGGCCAAAAAAGCTAGATCAAACTTCCACAGGAGAATTAAGAGATTGGGCAGAAACATTCATAAATGAAGAGCAAGAAAAATAATACTGCCTTAATTGTTTTTGCTGTGTCAAATGACGCTCCTCTGGTGGTTTATATAGATCAGGGCACCTTGTATTAGACAAAGTAAAACAAGTCAAACACATCCGCAGTTATAAAAGTCGTACAGTAAGACTGACAAGCAGATGATAAATAACGACAAAAACCATGGAAAACCTCAAACGTCAATCATATTGCTAATAAAACATATTTATTGTACGGCAGCATATGACACCTAATGGAGATCTGCGTTTCATTTTCTGAATGGGACCCTCCCCTATTAATCAACCATGGACAACAGCCAGATGACAGTAGTGACTCCGGGTGGGGAGGTGCTGTTGTTGCAGGATCATTCACTAATTCATAGTTATCCTCCGTGGAGAGTGATGACATTTGATATTTATATAAGAATGCAAATGTCTCCTCCTGTTAAGTATCACCAATGAATTAATTAACGTTGGCAGTTTGAGGTAAAAAAACAGAAATGTCACTTATTTTAGACCGACAACAAAATTAATAAAGCTATTTTCAAACATTGCCTATTAACACACACAAAAAAAAAACACTTACAAAGTTTAGTTTGTACTGTTTCAATATATTTTTTTAAACTGAAAAAGTACCAGTTTATGTTGTTCATGCAAAAATCTCAAAAAGACCTTCTAACCATTGAAATTTGAGTCACAAAGACAAACCTGCAGTTTTGTTACTATGAACAAAGTACTGATCATTATGTTGCTATCATTAACTGAAGATGCAGGACTCAAACATGATATCTTGCTGTACTCAATAGAAGAATATTTTCTTGTTCCAGGTGATGTATTGAGCAGATGTTGGAGCCCAACACTGGTATCCCTCACTCGTCTGAGCTACCGTTCCCTTGGCAACAGAATCTTGTTAATTTAGGTTTCACACGGCCACTAACTTGTCACACAAGTGGGGGTCCAAACCACAGTGTTATAAATCGCTTATATTTTACCTGATTGAAGGGTTATCTTTGCAGGTCAGGAAGAGGGAATCTATGCTCAGTTAGTGGTCTTGTTTTTCATGAACCTGGGATTACCTGACTTCCTGGCCTGTTTTTGTTTAGTGGAACTGACCCATACCGACGCCCTCATGGTATCAGAGAAGAGGAAAGGTGCGAGAAGGTGAAAAATGGCAGAGAAGTCCAGTGACAAGTGGGTCCACATGAGGAGATGGTGTGATGCTGGTCTTCAATCAGCCTGGCTACTCTGGGAAGTTTCTAGTAAAAAAAAAAAAAAAAAAAGACTGCTCATTGCAACCCTGGTTAGATGAGAGAGGATGATTTTGCTTTCTTCTTTTTTTGATAAAAGCGTTTTCATCTGGCTTCTGTTAGATATGTTAGGACAGGCACAAACCGAAGGCCAACCTCAAACCATGTCACATGATACTGTGTGTGTGTGTTTAGAATTCACAATTTTTCAGCTTTTTCAAATCCAAAAAGCCTCAAAATGTTGATGATGGTGATGTTTTGATGCAACCCACAAACTGTACAACACCTTAGTCAGGAGTGTTAGTTTGGGATGGGGGGGTTATCCATCTGAGATTATTTGGCTGGGGATCAGCAGGGCTGTACAACTGGGCATTTAGACTATATGCTTTATTTGAGCTTTAGATATGTTTCTATAGATTGCAACTGTGTGTCAAGATGGGTCTGTAACACATTTAAAAATTACTCGTGCCCATACCTGGTTCTTGTCAGTATTAGACACCCTTTGGGAACCCAAATGAAGATTTTAATTAAATCTCCTGCTTTATTATAATTCAATTTTGTGGTTTTACACACTGAAGCTCTAAGGATAGATTGCAGCCTCTGACTGGGAATGAAGAATGGTTTTGAAATTCGATGTGTTGCTGAAGGGCAGAGGATATCAAATAAAGGTTAGTCTCAATCATTCACAAATTCCCATTGCAAACAATCGCCGTGGAGTTCATTATTCCTTTTCTCGTTTTTTCCGCTTTGCAGTAATATGTCTCTCTGGAATAGTTCCAATCAAGGTTGACACTTTTATTAGCTCCTTTTGTCCCTGTTATTTCAATCTTATGGAAATCGTGCTTTATTTGCGTGCTTAAATGCGCTTCCGCCGGAACCACCACGACGCCGTTTCTACTATACTTTGATATCCAGCGCAAACGGAGCTCTGCTTTCTTGGCCCCGCATCTCCCCTCTCAGCTGAAGGACTTGATTAATGTCCTTCTTTTCATCAGTGCTTTTTTTAATTGCTGAAGAGCGGCTCCGCCCGCCGCGGCGAGGGCTCACAATGGCTGAGACGTAGTCAGGTGCTTGCCATTTCTCGCCGCATTAATCATCCCGATTTTTTATGTAACCCAGACGTCTGGCTTTCCCGGTGGATGCTCCGTCGCCGTTGCTTAACAACACAGCGTTAAAAAAACTTTGAAATGTTATCTTTAAAAGTCACAGGGCCAGTGTCCCGGGAAGGCGCTCCCATCTGGCGATCGGGCCACGTTGAAAAGAATAAACACAAAGCGCTAATTCGCCCTCTCTGTATGTGCGCCGATAGCGAGTTTGAAGGGGGTTGGCTGCCGGTGAAGTGATCGCCGGTAGAGTGATGTTCTTAAATGATATGTAATGTTGGACACAGATGGAAATTTCTCCTGTCCCTCGGTTAAAAGCAGTATAATCTGGGGATTGTACAGTATAGAAGAGCCTTTTAAAAAATTATTTATGTAATTACATTACATAGTCATACTTCAACATTGCTTATTTACAGTAAAAAGCCATATTGATTACCTGAACTATTACAATTAATTAACTAGTAACTGAGATCATCGTAGATGCCGCCGGAACTCCAGCCCGCGACACGGCGCTAATCATTCTCTTTAATTGTTAGCGACCCCGGCAAGGTGACCAGCGCAATCAGGTACGTGTTACGGAGGATTAACCTCGACCGAGGTAATTATGAGAACACGCAGTGTACTTATTTGCCTTCTTGGAAGATCCTGTCGCTACGGATCCGGGATGGCTGTCGCTCCGCGTCCGTCTTCGGCTGCCTTTACGCCGGGAGCGGCCGCACGCTCCTCCTACGCCGTTTCCTTCTTGCTTCTACTCGGGAGATTTGTGCTGGTGCCTCGTTACCTCCGGGGAAAATTACGTGCAGTTTAACCTGGATGGCTGAAGTAATGTGTGGGGAAATGGTGTGCAATAAGAAAGCTATCTTAAGTTCAGCATTAGCAGAAGACAAACGTCTGAAATTTTTGCTGCAATGGCTTTTCTGCACTGACCCCTCTCCACCCCCCCAAAGGATGATGACCGTGCTCTCCTGGCAGTTGCTCTTCTGGTGTCAAATGTGTGTTGGGTAGTGGAGGGACTCCCACTAAGGTGTGGGTTTTCTTATGCCCCTCCCAGCTGAGGTAAACACCTGTCGAATCACACTGTACTACCCATAGCACCCAAACATGTGATGGTCATTGCTGTGCCAGCAGTAACCTCACCTGCAGGGGGCAGTAGTGACATTATGGTCACTGTCATCAGGTAACCATCACTGTGTGAAGTGGCCCCTAACATACGCTTTGCTACAGCACCGGCTTAAAGTGCTGGGGGTGGGGGAGCCCTGTGCTCCAGCTTTGGTTGTTTAACTGTTTCCAATCTCTTAAAATAGCAAGCTGAGTTCAGCTTGATTAAAATAGACAACAGAAAGAGAAAACAGAGTCCTTTTCCTGCAGGCCGACAAAGAGCCGGGTGCGAGTGGGATGCGAGCCGTGGATGTGGGCGTCCGCAGCTTCTTCTGCCCACCGGGGTGAGTCAGAGCTGGCCTGAATGTGAGCTGTTGTCTTCCCTCCCACTCACTGACACCACAGCCTCCAGACAGCTGGAACTGAACTTCCTCTCTCTATGCACAGGCCAGGGTAGGTGGGTGGGCGGAAAAGGCAAAAAAAATTAAAGCTTATTTCATTTTTCATCTGTCAGCTTGTGCCATGAACGGTTGTTACGTTACATATTTGTTTATCAGACAGCTTTTTTTTCTGCAGTAAATTATGCAATATACCATTTGCAATGGTATCTGTTTATGCAGATGAGTATTAACTGAAGATATCTGGGTTACATTCAGGTGTCAAGGGGACTGGAGCATTTCAACCCTGGGATGTGAGGCTCCAATCCCATGACATGGTATGAAGTGCGGATGGGGTGTGGCTAAGCGTGTTAGGGCTCAGTAGTGCCTGTGATGCAAAGGCTGCCAGTTCAAATCCCAGGGTCAGCAGAGTGATGTCACTGTTGGGCCCTTGAGCAAGGCCCTTAACCCCCAGTTGCTACAGGGACTGTCTGACTCCTGCTTTCTCAAAAAATCTATGGGTACGTTCGACTTGGTCTTAGGTCTGTCTGCAGCTGACGTGATGTGAAATCTGCAGGGGTGGAGTATAAATTGACTGCAGCCAAGTCGGACAACTTCTACTCAGGGACGGATTATGGGTTGTGTGGGCCCCTGGGTAAAACGTTCGCGAGGGCCCCCACCACCACCACCACCA